CTCATACAATTTTACAGCGTTTCCACTGAGTTTTTGGTAGATAAATGACTTTGAGAATGGGAGGTTTGGATCTCCAGGGGGTCACACAAATTAGTGGAAATCCAGTCTTGTACCGCAGCAACTTGGCATCCGTTATGCGCAGGTATCAGGGTATGTTAACCTCCATAACCAAGTAGAGAAAGATGAAGAAAGATATTTAAATCATTAGATATGACACGTTTCCTCCCAGATCCCCTCCCTTGCCAGCGGGGTTACGTACATACGGGCCTTAGTCGTGCGCTGTTTTGTCGAATAATCCATTCAAGAAAATAAGGGAAGAAAACCGCACTTTCCGGCTCACTAGTTGTTGAAACGCTCACAAAAATCATTAACGGTGAGTATCACTTCGGTACACTTTAAGTCACTCGCTCCCCAGACCCATTGCAATGTGTATTTTTACTACACCGTATTCCTACCGTAAATCCTTGGACCAATGGCAAATTTTACAGAACGATGGCGGAGTTTGTAGGGCATACTTTGCATTATGCGCAAGAATGATTGGCTATACAGAGTTAAAAAGTTGCAGAAAAAGCTTCAAACTACTTGCGAACCTATGGCCTAGTTATTAGGACAATGCTTATCCAAATAGGACGATTTATTACTATTGTTCAGCGAACACAGATCTATGTTTCAGCCCTTCAGTTATTTCTCACTCCTCTTGGTCCCGATGGCGTACGAATTCTTCCCTTCTTCTATCTGAGTATGTACAATGCTCCGGCACTTGTATCGGCTACATTGAACCTTTGTGGATTTTTGACTATCATGTTCGTCTTTCAAGAAATCTATCTCGATAACAAGACTACTGCGGAAAGTGTGAGTCAAACTGGATTGATAATTCTTGAAAATTAACAAAACATACTGAAAAGTTGAGATTTTGGCTCACTTTTGCTGAATTTCCTTTTTCAAATACAAGAGTTGTGCTTCATTTCGTTCTGCAAAATTTTCATCATATTGCCGAATTCATTCATCCTGTTGGAATTTCAGGGCAGCAGCGATGATTCCAAGCCGAGTATGATTGCAGCATCCATATGTGTATTGACTCGATTCATTCAGATATTTTCCACGAATACTCTCGAAACGTAAGCAAGCAAAATACTAAAATCGTGGCTCTAAAAAGCACATGGTATTATCTGACAGTGATTTTAACATCTTGTTGCAGGATAGGATCTGCCTTTTCAATGCTCATGTTTTCTTTCAATAAAGAAGAATCGGTTACTGCCAATGCATCTGCTCACCTTGCTGCTGGCATTATTGGCGCTATACTGTACTTCTTGTTCATATTTTTCGATTTGACGAAATTGTAAGTATTTGGGCAATTGATTCGCAAGAATATAGTGTGACTTCCTCTCCCTCTCCACCTAGCCAACATTCATACTTACCTTTTCAAAAATTTCAACTAACCTCAATTTCGTAAACGATGTGTTTGCTATACCAGCAACATTTTCATTTAAGCTTGTACGTAATGTCACTTTCAAAAATAGTTTGCTCATAGAGATAACTCATAAAACTTGCTTGCACACATCTATCAGTCAATGGCTTTGAAGTGTTGATTCCATAAAATTTGTATTAGGTTGTCCCGAAAATAATGTCGCATTGCATC